ATTGCCTTCATCACTCTCACATCCTGTCTGTCTCTTCTCCTTACAATCACATAGTCTGTTAAATGCCAATGTTTGCTTCGAGGATGCATCCATGAAGTTTTATTGCATTTAGGTAAATGGAAGACAGTGTTGATGATGAGAAGGTTATGATATGTACAAGTCTTCAGTAGTAAGTGACCATTGCTGTTGCTGTTTCTAACTCCATTCCTCCTAAAGACTCCCTGCCATGTCTGGTGGTCTAAGCCTGCTCTAGCATTAAAATCACCCAGAATTATCGGTTTGTCCTCTTCTGGCACATTGATGAGAACAGTCTCCAGGTCTTCATAAAATTTTTCTTTGACATCATCAGAGAGCATAGGCACTGATGATAGTGGCATGGAGTTTTCCTGCAAGTGACAATCACATTGTCATGAGCCTGTCGTTTACTCTTTTCGGTAGGCATGCAAGCTTGTTGACTAGATTAGTTTTGATTGCAAAAACTACACCAACTTTACAGTGTTCCATCTTACGGTAGCCTCTCCAGAAAAACATGTATCCAGCTCCATCTTCAGTAATCTGGCCTTCATTTGCCGGCCTTGTTTCACTTAGAGCTGCTATTTGAATGTGATACCTGCTGTCTTTCAGGTCTACTGGATTTTGTGTTGTCTATAAGTGTGCACATATTCCATGTACTGATGGTGAGTGGAGTCATCTTTGTAGAAGTTTTTGTACATTTTTTTGTGTTTTGACTTCAGGGTGGAATCCCCACTTGACTTGGTAATCAAGCCAGGGTTGGGTTAAAAGACAATTTTTAGGGCACCTTTTCCAGACTATTCCTCACATCAGAAGATGAGCAGTGTGATCCTTAAAAGGATGCTCAGACACCCAAGGGGACTGCTGAATCCCAGTGAGAAGACCCTATGGCCTGGGCAGAGTTGTGACTACAACTCCCAATGTATGCACACCTGCTGCTAGTCACTTGCCTGTCACCACAGGATTTTGAGATAGGTAACAATGGCAAAATTATATAGATTTTGTCTTTTGATTCACGCATAAATTGGATTTAAGTGAGGCAGAGTTGCATGAAGTCGTCAGCCTCACTCTTTGTTCCAGAATCATCACAGTCCAGTGGCATGACCAAGTCAAGACAACTAGTGATGGCTCAAGATCCAGTAGATGACCTTGGTGTCTTCAATATCTAACCAAGCTCTAAGCACTTCCCAGCACCTGCTTCAGCTGTCTTCATGGCCATTGGAACAAATTGTTCCCATCTGCCCATTCCACCAGGAATGCTTCGCATGCTTGGGGTGGACTAATTCATCGACTGGTTTGAGACCCCTTGGTTATCCTCAACTTTGTTTAACCCATTTGCTGAAACAATTTACCAAGGCGTGGCTGCTGTACATGCTACAGCTTCTTGGAGCCACATGTGAGAGTTAGGTGGATCAGGTGGACACCAAAGGTGGAAAGTAGCCATGAAAAGGGCTCAGCAGCTCTCACACCAGAAGTACTAGTCTTCCCTGAACACATGCTACACCCTGATTTAAATAGTAAAGAGAAGAGGAATGAGTTAGGGAGTTCAGTAGAAGCTGGGGTCATAATAAAACTACTCCTTGAAAGGACAGGAATATCAGCTCAGACTAAGCCAGCAACAGAAACTGAAAAATTAGAAGAGTCTCTTGAGCAATAGGAGCATACTGGAACAGCTCAGCCTAAAGCTGGGGTATAAATAAGGCTGGAATTAGACAATAATATAGACTTTTTTGAGGAGCCATTGTAACTAAGACCTAACACAGGAATAGTGGTGGCAGGGAAGCTCTTTAGATAGTTTTTTTTAAGTCCTGTCTTAAGAAAGGCATTCTTTTTTTTATTTTTTAATTTATAGAATAAAACAAGCATCTAGTACCTGAAACAAATAACATTGAACTGTTGCTTTCTGTCTATACCTTGAGACCCTTGATAGAAAGGTACTACATTAACTTGGTGGAAAGAGTTGATTCAATTGAAGAACAGGAAATATTTTAATTAAACAGTAACTTATCAGGTACAGACCTTATTGATAAGGTATGAAATCATAATTACGGAATTTCAGAATTGGAGAGAAATTGAGTGACCATCTAGTCCAACCCTACCCTGAAAAGGAATGCCCACCACAGCATAAATGATTGCCATTTGACTTTTACTTCAGAACCTTCTATGAGGGGAACCCTACTTCCTCCCTAGTTAGCTATTTCATTTTTGCATTTGGGGGAAGTTTTTCTTTATGCCAAGCCTAAATTTGCTTTTTTGTAACTTCCCATTGCTCCTAGTTTGGCCCTTGTGGGTTCAAACAGAATAACTCATATTCCTTTTTCATGTAGTTGAAGTCATAGATCATGTTATCTCTAGGCGAAACATTCTCAGTTCCTTTAACCAATATGGAATGAACTCAAGGCCCTTCACTATTCTTAGTGGTTTCCACCGCATGCTCACCAGCTTGTCCATGGCCTTCCTTAACTGATGTGCCCAGAACCGCATACTGTAATCCAGATATAGTCTGACTAAATCAGAACATCATTTCCTTATTCCTAGAAACAGTGTCTAACGATGCAGTCCATGATCATAGTGACTTTTTTGACTGCCCTGTCATATTGTTGTCATATTCAGCTTATAGTCCTTTAGATCAATATACCTGGAGATGGCCCTGGATACAGTGGGAGACCTTGGCCTTTTTTAAGCTAAGGTCTTTAATAGAGCTTAGTTTGACTGAGACAATGCCATTCAGTGATTAAGGCTAGGTAAGAAAGGATGCAAAAAATAGCCTCTTTTACCTAGTTCTAAAAAAAAAATCAATCTGGGAGGGGAAGACCCTCAGGGTTTCTGGCCAAAATAGAAACAATTGCTATTTACATTCACTCAGAGCCAGTCCAGGCCCAGACAATGACCAAGTGGGGCTTGGCCTGGAACCTATTGTTGACCAATCAGTGAGAGCCAGTGATTTGGGTTTAAGGCTTAGACCTCAAGAAAGAAATCTAGCTGGTAAAACCCAAGATATCTTGTAAGATTTCAGACACCAAAATTTAATTCCTTTGGACAGAGCACCCCCAGGAAAGGAAGTTAGGAAGTTTCAGCTGAGTCCCCAGTGGGTCAGCTCCTGCTACTCACAGAGGTGGTTTGTCCTTAGTTCTCCAGATGGCTCCTGAGGAGAAAGTGAAACTGGTGACTTTGTAGAGCCCTCTCTCACTTAAATCCAATTTACTTGTATGTCATGGCATCACCTCCTGATCTTATGGTCCCCAAAGGACAATGAACAGCAATAGTACACTAAAACCCTTGGATCTTATTCAGATAAACTGTTGTCTAATCATGCCCCCCCAGGCTTATTTTTTTGAAGTTTTTTTTTTAACTTAAGATTTATTTTAATTAAATTTGTTTTAGATTTCAGAGTTTACCTGTCAAGATCTTTTTAGATCCTAAATATCATCCAATCTATTGTGCGTTCTTTCCAGCTTTACGTTGTCTGCTTATTGGATAAGCCTGTGGTGCATTGGAAAGCACTGGATTTGGAGTCTGAGACCTTGATCCAAATCCTGGCTCTGCCACTTGCTACTTATATGACCTCAGACAATTCACTTAACATTTCTAGGCCCCAGTTTTCTTTTCTATAAAATGAAGATGTTGGATTAAGTGGTCTATAAGGTACATCCTACCTCCAAATCTATGATATTTATTATCTGTAACTTTATCCAGATTATTTATGAAAACGTTCAGCAGCACAGAACCAAGCCAGAACTCTTCTGAATTGACGTGGAACCAACTCTTTGAGTCAAGCTATTCAACCAGTTTTGAAGTTTTCTCATTATACTGTCACTTAGCCCATGACTCCCTCTTTTCCACCAGAATATCAAAAATCTTGCTAACTATATCTATAGTATTCCTCTGATGTACTAGTTTTTGTAACCCCTCAGAAAAGGAAATAAGATTAGTTTATACTGATCTGTAATTAATGAAACCATGTATCTCTTTGTGATCACCACTAGGTTTCCTAGATGTTCTTAAACTATTTACCTTACTAAGAACAGAGGAAACATGACAGCTTTTATTTGAATAATTTGTGGGAAAAGGAAGTAGAACTGAAGAGTTCTAACCTTGACAGAGACATAATAATAAACTCCTAAAGATTTTTTTTATGCCACGGAGAGGAGCCCAGTACCTTTCTTTCTACTTCTGGGAAGACTGCACTGAAGAAGAACCTGAAGATAAATACATTGCATTTCTGTCTAGCCTGCTGATAGTCACATGTGTGTATGTGTGTGTGTGTGTGTACATATATAAATAAAATCACATGTATTAGGGAAGGTTGGTAACCCACTGAGTTCAAAAAGTCAGTAAGAATACCACAAATCTGTTCACACTCCTCTGCTTCTACAGTAGAGTGTGTTTACCATTTACTTATTACTTTTGTTAGATCTTTTCACCATGGAACCGTGTGATTTCACTTAGTTTCCCTTTCATTCCTATTCTAACTACTAAATGTGAACTTTCAGAGCAAAAGCTCTGAAGCTTGAAACTCTAAACTGGGTAGATCTGTGTTGATTTTAGTAATAAGTTTTATGATAGGAAGTGGGCACTGGAGGTCAAAGAAGACATTAGAGAAAGCATTAATTAAGTTAAATTAGTTCTGCAGGTAGGTTCCCTGGTTAATTGGACAGTTAATCAAAGATCTGGATCCAAGAGATACTATACTAAGACACAAGCAGTAGGGGCTATTTGTCACACTTGGTCATGCTATTGATAGTAATGGAGAAATTGAAAAGAGAGTCTTGTTTAAGGGATGAAGTAAGTTCTGTAGAGCATTCAAGTATAGAATGGAAGAAGCCTGAAATATAAAACTAGTTTCAAAATATCCATTGTAGGTTTCAGAAATGTAAGAGACAAGTTTGAAATTGGTGGGTAGTTAATTCAAAATCCCACAGGCTCCTAGTGAGGAGAGGCCTGAGGACAAGGCTAATACTGTTTATGCCTTCTTTCTTTTCTCTTAGTTCTGCCCATTTCCCAGGCTCCTGCTTCGTCTCAGAAGGGAAACCCACGAGACCAGGAGATGGCAGCTGCACTTCTTACAGCTGGGTTCCAGGTGAGCTATGGTCTGCTGTACTCCTCATTAAGACAGTGTAGCTGCTACTTGATTCTTTGTTATAATCCTGAAGCTTCTAGTGGGTTCTACCTAGAGTATTTACCCTAAATACCTCTTCCCAGAGAGATCCATTCTGGTTTTCTGATGGTCACCTTTTCTGTTTTTCTCCCTATTTCAACCCAACACTCTACCCATTTCATCAAATATACTGTCTTCCTTTTTGTTCTACACTGATTCTGCTAGTTCATTTCCTTGCTCTGGGTTAGAGTAGTGGGACTGTACCTTTTAGGGGTAGACCTAATAATAATAGACCTCAGTGGGGATTTTGTGTCGTTCCAGACTTTGGTGAAGATCGAGGACATGGCAGTGTCTCTCATTCAGGAGGAGTGGGGACTTCTTGATCCAGCACAGAAAGACCTCTGTAGCGATGGCAGGCCAGACAATTATGGCCACGTGTACTCCTTGGGTAAGGACCAACAGAAGATTAGCATTTTTTAAAACTTTATTGACTTATTCATAGGATAGTAGCCATGAAGTGTAAGAAGGACTCAATTGAGTTTAGGCTCAGGTAACTAAAATATTAAGACCTTGAAATAATATGTTATCTCATTTGTTGCTCACAACAGCTTTTGAAGTAGGTGGTATTATTCCCATTTTACAGATAAAGAAACAAGCTAAGAGAGATTAAGTGACTTGCCATGAGTCACACAGCTAGTAAGAGTCTGAAGCAGGATTTGAACTCAGGTTTTCCTGAATCTCAAGCCCAGTACTTTAGTCACTGCCTAGCTTGCCTGCAACGTGTCTTTTTTTTTAAATTAATTTATTTTTAGTTTTCAACATTCACTTTCATAAAATTTTGAATTTTAAATTTTCTCCCCCTCCCTCCACTCCCCCCACAACAAGATGGTGTGCAGTCTGATATAGGCTTTACATATACATTCATATTAAACATTTTCACAATAGTCGTGTTGTAAAAAAGAATTAGAACCAATGGGAGGAACCACGAGAAAGAAGAAACAAAAAAGAGAGAGAGAGAGAGCAAATAATATGCTTCAATCTGCATTCAGACTCCATAATTCTTTTTCTGGATGTGGATAGCATTTTCCATCATGAGTCTTTTGGAATTTTCTTAGATCTTGCATTGCTAAGAAGAGGTAGGTCTATCAAAATTCGTTATCAAACAATGTTACTGTTACTGTGTACTGTGTGCTGGTTCTGCTCACTTCATTCAGCATCAGTTCATGTAAGTCTTTCCAGGTTTTTCTGAAGTCTTCCTGCTTGTTATTTCTTATGGAACAGTAGTACTCCATTACATTCATATGCAACAACTTGTTCAGCTATTCTCTAATTGATGGGCATCCCCTCAATTTCCATTTCTTGGCCACCATAAAAAGAGCTCCTGCAACATGTTCTTGCTCTCTTATTCCAAAGGACATTTTGTTACTTTTGGTTGGAAACAAATAAATTTGTTTTTTTTCCTTAGTTCTTACCTTACCCATCTTCCCAGTTCCCAGATAGATATCTGACATGGAGATTTCAAATTTTATTTACTGTTGTTTGTCCTTTTTTTACCTTTTTTAACCAGTCTTGACATTTTCCCATTCTTACTACCTTTGCTAGATCTTCTTACCATAAATGACCCATAGAATTAGCAATTCCTTCATTCCTTTAATTCTTGATATTCTTCCTCCATTAATTATTCAAACCAAAGTCCAACTTATATCTTTTCTCTCTTGAGCCTTTTACACCTGTAAAGATCATAGATTTAGAATGAGGAGGGGCTTGAGATAATCTAATTTAATCACACAATTTTATAGATGAGGAAACTGAGGCCAAGAAAAGTTAAATGACTTGCCCAAGGTCACATAGATAATAGCTGGAATTTTACTACAAAAATAATTTTCTTTTTTCTACAACATTCTGCCTCCCATTGGGCTCAGCATTAAGAAAGACGAAAATAGAGAAGCCAAGTCACTCCATAAGCCAATGGGGTAAAAAAAAACTTTTTTATAAGATGGAGTAAAAAAGATGATACATTTTTAGTCAAGTGACCTGGGTTTGAATTCTGGCTCTGCCGAGCTACCTGTGTGACATTGAAGGAAGGAAATAAGCACTTATTAAGTGCCTACTGTGTGTCAGACAATGAACCATTCACTTTGGTTCTCACGATAAGCCTGTGAGGTAGGTGCTGTTATCCCCATTTTACAGATGAAAAAGGTGAGGCAGGCAGGTTGATTGACTTGACCAGGGTCGCACAGCTAGTAAGTGTCTGAGGCTGGATTTGAATTCAAATCTCTGATTGCACCTCCAGTGCTCTAACCACTATACCACCTAACCTTAGATTAAATAATTTCTTCCTTTCCTCACCTTATCTATAAAACTAGGGGCTTGGCCTAGATGACTCTGATTACCTTTACAATCCATTCAACCTCTGTTGGTTCTGTGCCCAAGTCCCATTATTTGACTCATGGTACCACCTAGTACCTTTTCTCATTATTCAGCTTAATTGTGGGGTCTGAAAAGGACCTCTGAGATTGTCTAGCTTATTCCCTCATTTTATAGGTAAGGAAACTGAGGTCCAAGGAAATGAAGTGAATTACCCAGAGTCACATAACTCAAGTGACTCAAATCCAAGTATCTTTTCTTCATAACAGTCATTTTCCTTACTCCTTTGTGTTGCTTTTGGAAATAGCACCCAGCATTTCTTTAGGATTTATTATTTTATTTGTTTTGTTTTTTTTAGTGAGGCAATTGGGGTTAAGTGACTTGCCCAGGGTCACACAGCTAGTAAGTATCAAGTGTCTGGTCTGAGGCCGGATTTGAACTCAGGTCCTCATGACTTCAGGGCCAGTGCTGTATCCACTGTGCCACCTAGCTGCCCCCTAGGGTTTATTATTTTAAAAGAGTTTATGATTAGACACTAGAGGAGACATACAATAATAACTTAAAGAGGAAACTCACAGAGCTCTTACGAATGAATGAATCCTTCCCCTATATGCCAGGTATGAGAAATAGAATGTTCTTTTAGTTACCCTTTTTTTCCTCTTCCTTATGGAATGGCATATGTCAGGCCTTGTTCTTAATGAGAAGTTAATTATAGTTCTCTTTGTTTGTGGGTTTGACCTTGCAGGTATGGTTTACAGGTCAGCCTCTCCAATCTACTTCTTTCAACCCTCAGGTCTGAGAATAGAAACCTAGGACTTGAAACAGACAACTCTTTTCTGTAGTCTCCCCAATTCACGGGGCCAAGTTTCTCTCACTTTAGACTTACCAAGTTGCATTGTAGTAACTGGTTCTATCCTATGTGGTTATGTTAACTTTATACGTTTTGCACTAGTTTGGCACCAGTCCCTGTGCTTCCAGAAGTCAGAGTCATAAGTAAAAACCTCCATGCCCTTTCTGGGCTTCCAGCTTGAGCTTCCCTCCTAGACTGATGATCTCTGTTAGTCTGACCATATACCTTTTTGGTGGCCTGACCCTAGCTCCCCACTTATTGGCAAGAATTAGATGGTAGATTCTTCCAAGAGCCTTTGAACACCTGATGCTTAAAGACTTCAGACCCCAACCTGGCTACATTGCTCTGAGCATGCTGAGCATACTTCTTCCCACCATCTATCCACTGTTCTTTTCAAGGGAATGGTTTTTTAGGTTCCAGCTTACAGTTAGAAAACATTCTTTTTTTTAAATTTTTTATTTCTTTTGATTTATCAACAATCACTTCCATATGCTTTTGAGTTTAAAATTTTTCTCCCCCTTCCTCCCCACCACCCTTCCCAAGACGGCACACAATCTAATATAGGCTATACATTTACATTCCTATTAAACATATTTTCACATTAGTGATGTTGTAAGGAAGAATTAGAACCAAAGGAGGAACCACCAGAAAGAGGAAACAAATATCAAAAGAAGAGAAAAAAAATAGCAGTTCAACTTCCGTAGTTCTTTCTTTGGATGTGGATAGCATTTTCCATCACAAGTCCTTTGGAGATGTCTTAGATCCTTCTATTGCTGGGAAGGGTTAAGTTTATCAGTATTAATCATCACACAATGTGCTTGTTATTGTGTACAACGTTCTCTTGGTTCTGCTCACTTCACTCAGCATCAGACCATACAAGTCTTTCCAGATTTTTCTGAAGTCAGCCTGTTCATCATTTCTTATAGCACAATAGCATTCCATTACATTCATATACCACAACTTGCTCAGCCATTCCCCAATTGATAGGCATCCTCTCAATTTACAATTCTCTGCCACCACAAAAAAAGCTGCTATGAATATTTTTGTACATGTGGGTCCTTTTCCCATTTGTATGATCTCTTTGGAATATAGCCCTAGAAGTGCTATTGCTGAGTCAAAGGGTATGCACATTTTTATAGCCCTTTGAGCATAGTTCCAAATTGCTCTCCCAAATGGTTGGATCAGTTCACAACTCCACCAACGATGCATTAGTGTTCCAGTTTTCCCACATCTTCTCCAACATTTATCATTTTCCTGTTTTGTCATGTTGGCCAATCTGATAGGTGTGATGTGGTACCTCAGAGTTGTTTTGATTTGCATTTCTCTAATCAATAGTGATTTAGCATTTAGAAAACATTCTTAAACAGTACACATTAACAGAGCATCTGTCATTCTTCTAGGCTCTTCCTATTCTTCCCTCTCCCTTTCATGCTAAGATGAGAAAGATAAGATCTAGATGAACAATTAGGAATGGGTAAATACATAGAATTACTTTTGTCATTTTCTTTGATTAACTCTGGCTGGGAGCTTTGTCCTCCCTGTCTGCTAACTCTACATCACTGTTGTCTCCTGATATTTTTACTTGAATCCTGGTATTTTTACTTGAAACCTGGTACTTCCTTTCCTGAAATGTGTTACCATTTTGCTGTCAAGCCCTGGACTCCTAATACATATGCCATTCAAATTTTCCTATTCCTCTTCTAACAATCTCTTCTCTCCCATCTCAGGGGATAGATGCTATTTGCTTTCTTTGGTTTGTTTCAGGTGGTGAGACCAGGAGTGAGAACAGGGATTTAACTCAGAAACAGGTAATATCTGCTGAAATGGAACCAAATGGAGAGAGAACTGCCAAACGCAATGGAAATGTTCCTGAGAGTATTGACCATGGACAAGCTAGTGAATATACGGGCAGGTTAGACCGACGGCGAGGAAACCCCACCACCGGAGAAAGACGACATAAATGTGAGGAATGTGGGAAGAGCTTTGCCCAAAGCTCAGGCCTTGTACGACACTGGAGAATCCACACTGGGGAAAAACCTTATCAGTGTAATGTGTGTGGTAAAGCCTTCAGTTACAGGTCAGCCCTTCTTTCACATCAGGATATCCACAACAAAGTAAAACGCTATCATTGTAAGGAGTGTGGGAAAGCCTTTAGTCAAAACACAGGACTTATTCTACATCAGAGAATCCACACTGGGGAAAAGCCCTATGAATGTAATCAGTGTGGGAAGGCTTTTAGTCAGAGTGCAGGCCTAATTCTACATCAGAGAATCCACAGTGGGGAAAAACCCTATGAATGTAATGAATGTGGAAAAGCTTTTAGTCATAGTTCTCACCTTATTGGACATCAGAGAATCCACACTGGGGAGAAACCCTATGAATGTGATGAGTGTGGAAAAACTTTCAGGAGGAGCTCACACCTCATTGGCCATCAGAGAAGCCACACTGGGGAGAAACCCTACAAGTGTGGTGAATGTGGGAGAGCATTCAGTCAGAAGTCAGGCCTTATTGAACATCAAAGAATCCACACAGGAGAGAGACCCTATAAATGTAAAGAATGTGGGAAAGCTTTCAATGGGAACACAGGCCTTATTCAACACCTGAGAATCCATACTGGGGAGAAACCTTATCAGTGTAGTGCATGTGGAAAGGCCTTTATTCAAAGGTCGAGTCTTATTCGACATCAGAGAATACACAGTGCAGAAAAATCTGAATCTACATAATATGTATGAAAGCTTTCAATTACAATTCAGGCATTATTCAACCATTAGAGAATTAGATGCCATCCCTCAGAGCCTAGAAGAGTGCTTTGCAACTAGTAGGGTGCTTAATAAATGTTTGTTGAATTTGAATTGAAACTACACTGGAGAGAGTCCCTGTCATTGTTGTAAATGAGTGAAAAGTTAGTCACTGTTATAACCGTATCTATTATCTAGTATCATAGAATTCACATGGTATAGCCACATTATACTAGCTCTTCAGAGCAAGTTGGGCAAAATTTACTGATATTTTGACCCTTTAAGTAATGGGACAAAGCTTTTAAGTTGCCTGTTTATTCTCTGAAATTGAAAAATGTGTTTCAATTAGCTGCTTATTTACCACCCAAGGAATTTAACTGTGGTTCTGGTCAAGTAGCTATGGATTTGAGAGCCACTACTACTTCTTTCACCACTGCATTTTGTCTTTCTCATTGTTTTCCTTCATGTATCTTTGTTGAAATTACTGTCATGTGCCTAATTGGATGTATAGTACTACTTTAGAATATCATGAGGCTTCATGAAAAACTTCAAGCTTTATAAGACATAGAAAAACTTTGGAAAAATACTTAATCCCATCATGCTAATATATCCACATTTTATTGTAAATGCTTCTGTGATTGTCTCCACTGTTTGTGAATTCTTTATTGCTATTTGAATTCAGAATGCTATATTTTAAAAACCATACCCAAAGGGTCTTTCTTTTTGTCATGTCATTTATTGACTCCTTTGGATACACAAACCAATATTATGTCTATTACTTTTGGTGAAGTCATCAAAGGAAGTGAAAGCAAAGTAATTATGGTAAGAGTAATTTAGAAAAATAGGTGAGCAGAAACCTTTGCCTAGTTTTTCTGTCCAAGTGAATTTTATTTTATAGCTCCCCCTGCTAAACCCATGCCATGCAACACTAAGGATGCCACAGACTGGGGAAAAACAGAGGCTCAAGATAAAATATTTCTAAAGAATATACATTTCTTCTGGACCATTATTTCTGTTCTCTGTCATGTTCTCTATTATCCAGCTTGTTAATTGGGTTGTTTGTCACTACCCTGGATTTAACCTCCATAAATGACATAAGCAGCTGGTACATACTGTTCTTTTTTTTCTTTGTTTCTGGCTATTAACTTCAGTGATTTTAGCATCTGTTTTGATAACCCAGGCATAACCTCAGTTTTAAAGGTCCTTTCTCTCCTGGACTATATTGACCTCCATCTCTACTCTCCATCAGGCAGACTAACCACCAGGGACACACCATGAACTTGATGATCATAATTCTCTGCTCGCAGAGGTTTCCAGGATATGAGGTGTGACTATAAAATGAGAGGTTGATATTTTAAACTACCATACCAGAAATCAGGAAGCCATATGGTTTTTCCAGTGATACTATTACTCCTCACGATTTCCTTGGAACTCCTTATTTGTAGTTAGCTTCTGAGCCAATTTAAAAGTCATTCAAGAAACTCATGCCTATTACTAATAGTTTTAACTCAAAATTTTTTCTAAAATTGTATTTTCCAATTTGATAATCCCTTTATTAGTAGCTTGGATACAGACTCCTCTGGGTTGTTTTTGAAAACCAGATACCATCAATCAAAAGATTTTCCACTTGTAAGGATATTAAAAAGCATGTGATATGGTATCTGAATGTAATTCCAAAGGAATCTCAAGGAATGCTTTGAGTATTTACTTGGTTGGAATGATTATAAGGTCTTCTAATGTAACTACTTTAAAAGGATAGCAATTATTTAGAGGTATATGAGAAGCAGTATAGAATAGTAGATAGAATGCTGGACTTGGAGTTAGGAAAACTTAGCTTCAGATCTTGCTTCTGACAGTAATTTTGTGATGCTGGGTATGTCACAAGCAATTATATGTGACTTAATCAGTTCCCTTGGACACATCTACATCATAGATGGGTTGTAATCTGTGGTAGTGGAAGGGACTTTTCCCTTCCAAAGCAAGAGTTCCCTACTTAACACTGACAAAATCAGATTCTCATATGTGTTTGTTTTTTTAATCTCATAACCTTATAGGTCATATGTTATAGTAGATCAAACCTCCTCCTTTTACCCTGCCCCCCACTAAAATCTCCCATGTGACATCTTTATGGCACCCTTCCTTAATTAAATTTCCCCCCACCAAACTGTGTTTTTGAGTATTATATTTAGTTTCAGCTCATATTGCTTGCCTTCTACACTGACCCTTCTCCGTTAGTCACCCAATACCTCATTATCGAAATCTTTAGCCCTTCCCCCTTCCTCACTTCCCGTCTCTTAGTCCATTGTAATATCCAGCCATAGATAATCCCGTAGAAAGCTCCTTTCAGATATATACTTGTTAAGTAATGATTTAGAAAATTCCAGAACCAAGCCTACTCACTAACCTACTATAGATTCTTATTCTTCTTATTCTTCCTTAGTTTCCTTAAGATATAGATTTTGCTTAGGACATATTTTGTGTACAGACATGTTCCTTAGGGTGAGATTTCTGATGGACAATAAAAACATCTTTGATGTGGACTCTATCATGTCTCTTATCCCTCCCCTTTTCATTTATTCAACAGACATTAATTATGTGCCTTCTGTAAGGAGACCTCTTTACTAGATTCTAGGGGAGATTAAAAAACAATTTAGAAAATAGTACTTGCCTTCATGGAGCTTACATTCTAAAATGTTACAGTTATAGTTAGGGGATTTCAAAGTTGGAAAAGACCCAGGGGCCATCCTCAATCCATTCTTGACCAAGAGTGCTTTTTAAAACATTCCCAGCAAGAGATTGTACAGTCTATACAGATATCCACTAATGAGTAATCTACCTCCTTAGACAGGCACTCCACTTTTAGATAGGTTTAATTGGTTGGGAGCTTTTTCTTGTTACAAGCCTAAATCTGCAGATTCTGACCATTGTCATAGTTCTTCCCACTGAGACCAAGCAGAAAATGCCTAATGATGCTTCTACTTAACAGCCCTTCAGATACTTGAAGATAATTATCATGGTCTTTGAAAGATTACTAACAGTGACTCATCACCCATATCTGGCAGTTTTTTCCAGTATCTTTGATGTGTAGTTATTTGGAACAGATAACATTCAGGAGCTTTCTTATTGTATTCTTACTTAGGATGTCAAATCCTTATTAGGCATTCAGCCTTTATGCACCTTGATGGAGAAAATAAAATCAAAGTAAGAATTAATGAATTTATCCTTTCCAGTCTTTTCATCATCATCTAATCCACTCCAAGACTAGGCCTATCCCTTCTTTGATACTCTAACGAAACCTAAAAAAAAATTTCATTTCTTGCTTATCTAGAAGCTTATTCTGAGCTTTAGTCCTCTAGTCTCTATACTTTATAGCATCATGCCGTGTTTTTTATTCATCCTGTTTTCTACCAAAGCTAGTCCACATTTTGCCTCTTTTAGACTCACCTTACTCCTTGAAATTTGTGTGTCTGTCTGTCTGTCTTCAGAGTTTTATTCTGTGAGACCTTTCCACCCTTTGGGGGCTTACCCTGTCGATTTGGGCCGTGGGACTTTTTCTATTCTTGCTTTGAACCTTTCAAAATCTGCCAAAATCTAGAGTGCATTTTAAACTTAGCAACCTTCTTTGCTGTCATAAATTCTAAAATGCTTCTCATTGTTTCTTTATTGATAAGAATCAGGTCCAAAACAGTAGTGTCCCAGTCTCTCTCTATCTTTCTCTCCTTCCCCGCCCCCCCATCTGCTTCTAGAAGGATGAATGCCAAAGCAAAAATTTATTTGGGCAGTGAGAGAGCTCCAGCAGATACATAGATAATCAGAATCCTGAATCACTATAGTATGTTCCTGTGTTCTCTTTCTTGAACTCCTTATTTAGTTCTCCTCATCCTGTCCAGGTAGGTCTATAATATACTCTCATGACAGAATTACTGCTGTTTCTCCCTCTGCTGATCTTCACCCAGATGCTTTCAAGTTTTCCCACTCTGGTTTTTGGAGTTCATCTTCTTTATATTTAATACCACTCTGTACCCTTTTAATCTCTTCTGTTCTTTTTCAGTAAAGTATTCTAGAACTATAATCCAGGCATAGGTCTCAGGCCACAAAATCTTTCACTCAGGTCTCTAGTTGACCCTATCCCTAACTTGAGACCATGGGTTTTATTGCTTAAATTTTGCTTTCTGTGAATTATTCTTCCTGTGTTATAATTGCTGCTCTCTTTGGTAGTTTGCTTTGTAAAAGAACTTAGGCAGTTTTCTCCCTCCTTTTTTAGTTTAAAATCAGTTGTCCTCCCTTCCCAGTCAACCACCAACTGTCATGACGTATAACTGCTTTTCCAAAACCACTTGTTTTTTTATTACAGTATTACAATATATTAAAATCATAATATTTTGAAGTTGTAAGGGATGGATTACTCATTTTACAAGTGAGGAATCTGAGATCCACAAAGGTTAAGTGCCTTGCCACCCAACAAAAATTAAATTTCTCTGTTTTACATTTAGGGTAAGTCTTAGGTCTGTTCGGGATGAGGTGAAAAATACAAATCTTTGTCATTTTGTTTTTCTCTGTTAAGAGGAAATATGTAGAGCTGTGCCCATAGGACATGGAGTTTAGGAGAATTACTCTGCATAAATAAAGCAATTACCTTAAAACATCTAATGTTCCTCTCAGTTAAGGGGAAGTGAGATATGTTGAGCAAAGTGAATGAAAGTGGAGGTTTTGTCCTCAATATAAGAGATGGAAAAAAAAAAGAATTGACAAAAGTTCTAGTTCACCCACTGGCTGAAATATGAAGAACCTTCTCTTAATCCAGTTACTTCTTCCAACTACAATCTTATTTCTCTTCTACTCTTCTTGGAATGGAGGAAATAAGCATTTATAAATGCCTTCTATATGTCAGATACTGTGCTAAGTGCTTTACAAGTATCTTATTTGATCTTCACAACAACTCTGGGAGGTAGGTGCTATTATTCCCATTTTACAGTTGAAAAACCTATGTTGGACAGAGGTTAAGTGACCTGCTCAAGGTCATATAGCCAGTAAATGTCTGAGGCCAGATTTAAAAACAAGTCTCCCTCACTCCAACATTCTTTCTGCTGTGCCACCTAGTCACCTCCTAGTTTCTTAAATTGGTAATAACCTCATTTCTTTGCTATCTTTTCTGCCTTGTCAAATGAGTTATCTATTCCTCTTTCTATTTTCTTACTAAGTCCTTGAACTATAACTCTGCTTCCATTCTCACCACGTAGGTGTAGTCATTAAAAATGATCACTAATGCCCTGACCAGACCAAAAGGTCTCTTTCCAGTTTTCATATTTCTTTGCCACAACTCCATCTAACAAGTATGATCACATCTTCCTTAAAATTTCTTCTGTAACTATATTTCCATGGTTCTTCTAACATGTTCCACTTTTTTTTGTGGGTCTTTTCCCCCAACCTTTGAACTCTGGTTATCAGGGCTTAATTTTTAAGCTTCTGTTCTTTACCCTCAATACCCATTTCTTCAGGGATATCATCTCCTTCTAGTATTACTTTTCCAGTTGCCTATTGCACAGACTCAAAGGGATATACCTAACATGAACACCTGCAATTTGATATATTGGAAAGAAAACTGTATAATCACTGTTCCTCTCCCTTTCTTCTCCCTGTTCCCAAAATGGCATCACCTCAATTTCCCCATTACCCTATATAGTATCATTATCCTCTAAATCTACTGATATCTCAACCTTCTAATTCTTTTGAACTGCTCTCCTTCTGCAGTGCCACCTACTTAGATTCTTATTTAGCATTATGTCTCAGACCTTAAGCCTACATTTCCACAGCCACTCTTCCCATCAAACTGGCCCGTTATCATATACATGAATTATTTTAAGTCACGTGGTTGCTCTCCCCATCTCTTCTATACCTCCTCCAATGTATTCTGCACAAGTTAAACATTACTTTCATGGCATCTTTTCCCACAAGACCTATAATGATTCCTTATTTATCAGATTTAATTTAAACTTACCCTGCCCTCTAGGTCCTCCATCAGTTTGCTATTCAGAAGTAGCTAATCTCATTTCTTGTTACTCTTTGCTTCCAGCTAGTTCAGATTTTTTAGACCATTTTTCATGTGTTCTAAATATGTTCTATATATGTTTCATATATGTTTCATATGCCTTTTTTATTAATACTTTGTTCATCCTGTTTTCCTTGCTTAGGAATTGCTCTAGCCTAAAATCATTCCATGTCCATTACTTACTTTAAGATGGAGCTCAAATCATCTGTTCTCAGCTTTCCATAACTAATCTCACATTATTTACACTGATTACTCATAGTTTATATTTTATTATCTTGTACTTCCTAAATGATAAGAGCTAGCTAGTACTATAGATTCACTTTGTGTTGTCTTACAGCTAGATTGTAAGCTCCTTGCGGGCAGGGGACAGTATCTTTTACTTTGTATCCTATAGTGCCTAGTACAGTGCTGAGCACATTGTAGGAATTTAATAAATGTTTGTTAAATGAAAGTATGTATTGTTCACTGTATGGATTATCAACTAATGAATTTTTAAGCTGTCTTCGGCTTCCTTCCTACCCCCTTCAGTATTAGTTCCTGCCACTTATTATGTGTTTGGGGAATACGTACAAGCTAATTTTTTAAGGCCTGGCTGCGTAAGACAATATCCATTATTACTCATAAGACCAAATAATCAGCCAGTCTGCAATCTAAGAAAGCAAAGATTGAAAGAATATAAAATCACAAGCTTCTTATCTGTGAAGAATTTATCTACCCTCAAGGATTATTTTGGGCTTAAGAAAGGAAATAGGAATCTCTCTAATCCCTTAGTAATTGCTTGTCCACTTCTGCTTAAATTAGGAATGCTAAGGGACTTGGGAACGTAGGGTTGTTAGGCCTTAGGCTAGATATATACAAAATCAGTAAAAGTCAGAAGAAAAGTAGAATTATTTGTAGTTTGCTTTTAGAAAAAGTACATATTCTTGGTTTTAATGGTGTATTACATATGCATGTGGTCTGTAAGATTTTAAGATTGAACAGCCCTTTGTTTGGGTTCACTCAGTAGTGTGTATGTCAAGGTAACAATGGAACTAGATATAATAAACTTGATTTTTCTTTTATCCTGAAGTATCTTTCAGCCCTAAGTCTGTCTGACATCACCTACATCTCAGGTGTACCTTATTGCATAAATGAGATAAGCTTCTGGTTAAATCATCAGAGTCAGTGTTTATCTTGATGATTTTCACCCTAATGGTCTATTACCAGTGGGTCAGTGGCACAGCATGCTCCTCATCACTCTGCTAACACGAAAGCTGACATAGGCTGAGGATGAGACATCCCCAGACCCACATTCTCCTCAGTAGAAGGAGTCTAATGGGTGGCAATTAGAAGTTGGGGTTGTATCTTCCAACTCAGCAAGGGAACAGGTATTTCCAAGTAACACCCATTTTAATCTAACAACCATTTTTACTTCATCTTCTGTCAGCCATAAGTAGGAAGGAAAATCTTCAGAAAAAAATTACTCTATTAAATGTTATAAAAATTACTGCTATAAAATACTCTTTTCCTTTTCCAGAATCACAGCATTTAAGAGTTTGCAGGGGCAAACAGAAAGCATCTGAGACAATCACACACTTAACCAAGAATTTCCTCTACAGTATCCTCAGTAATTGCTCATTCAGATTCTGTTTGAAAACTTCTAGTGATAGTTAATGAGTATGCCATCTGTGCTTTATTGGAGTCATTGATTTAATTGTCAAACAGCAAGTAGCCAAGGTCAAATCCCTAGCATATTCTACCTACAGGCCTTCTGTCATGTTAATGTTGAACCATTTATAAATACTCTTTGAGTCTGGCCATCCAGTCTACATCTCTCCATCATCTTTACAAGAATAGTAGGAGATATTTTTTATCAATAATTTTGATACAATCTAAGTAAATAATATTTACAGCATTCCCCTTAGCTGCTAGTTTAGTATTAATCTAGTCACGAAAGGAAATTAGGTTAGTCTGGCATGGCCTGTTCATGAAATCACCCCTTCTTTTTCTGTGTTTGCCAATTATCTCTTAAATGATCTCCTTTGGGATTTCTTCAGGAATTCAAGATTACTGACCTATAGTTTGCAGATTCTGGTCTCTTTCCTTTTTTTGAAAATGGGTACATTTGTCCTTTTCCAATCTTGTGGTACCTCTTCTGTTGTCCAACCTCCCTATTAGCCATTTTTATTCTGTTAAATCCAGGATAAGGGTCATCTTTCTTGACTGAGAAGACAAATGCGTGATAAGAATTGAGAAGCTCTGTTTTTTCTCTGTTGCCACTTATCCCACCCACCCCAAGCAGAGGTCCCATTCCATTTTGATCATCCTTTTTCTACCAATATAATTTTTTAAAACAAGTTTTAAAAACCCTAAACAACCTTTTAAAAAATCCTAAACAACTAATAGGGAGTTGCTACCTGAGATACGTAAAGAAAGAGTAAGAAAAAGGCTTTCTTTGATGAATTAAAATCATCTGGCCCAGATGAATTACATCCTCAGCTCCTGAAAAAATTGGGAGATGTGACTACTGAGCCATTATCAGTGATAAAGTGGTTCTGTCCCTTCTTTGTTGAACTTTTTACTCTCACCATACTGTAAGGTTGTTTTTGTTTTTTTTTAACAAACAAAACAAACCCCAAACCCCCACAACCCTTTGTTTTTATTAGCATTCTTTGCCAGCCTTAGTTCATTCTGAGCATTAGCAGTCCTGATACCATTCTTAAAGGACTGTGCTGTGGTCTTGTATTCATCTTCAATTACTATATGTTTAAATCAGAGTTGATTGATGACTTTTCTCTGTCTCCATAATGGTCTTTCCACATGTATCCCTTTTTCCTTTCTCATAGGAATAGTTTATATTTTCAGAATTTCAGTATTGAGAGAGCCTCCCATCCCTCCTGGGCTAATTCACCCTAAAGACTTTTAGGCCCATAAAATCTTATATATCTGTTCCCTGAATCCTCTGAAAGCTACTGTCTCAGAATCTAGGGTATATGCCAGGTGTTGCCCAACTTTATTCTCTATCACAGATTCTGATAGAGGAGAAGTGACCTCTATAAGAATCCCATCATTTTTTTTTATTATTGTAAGCAGCTAGGTGGTACAGTAGGCTAAAGTGTTGGATTTGGAGTCATGAAGACCCAAGTTCAAATCTTACCTCAGACGTTAGCTATGTGATCCTGGGCAAGTCACTTAACTTTTTAACCTCATTTTTCTCCCTGGAAAAAGTAGAGAAAAAGATAGTGCCTACTTCATAGGATTGTTCATGAGGATCAAATGAGGTAACATGTACAGCACTATGCAGTCTTTGAAGTACTGTGTAAATGCTGGCTATTGTTAACTATTTCTATTTCAAGACCAATTCCTTTTCATTGGCCAGAATTAATTCAAGAACAGCAGTTCTCCACCTACCTTATTCTAGCTTCAAAAGGATGAAAATATCATTAAAATGACTGCTTTGTTTTTTGGCAGAGAGAACTCTTTAGCAGGTATCCTCTCTCACTACTTAATCATGTATCAGTAACAGAATTATGATTTGTTCCTAAATAGTTTATCTATTTCCTTCATCTGTCCTGGTGGCCTATAGTATACAACAATAACAATATTGCTTTTGGTTTTCCCTCTCCTCATTTTCAGCCAAATGCTTTTCCATGATACTTCCCCAATATGATTCCTGGATTTTTTTCTCGTGAGTGTATTTACTTAGTATAATATTTCTATGCCACTTTCCTTTATTTATCTTTTCACTGAATTATATCCCTTTAGAACTATGTTCCAGTCATGAGTCCTATTTCACAAAATTTCAGGGATATCTAATGAAGTAAAATTTTTCTAGTTTGCTTGTACTTTGTGCCATGGATTTTATTTCTAGGGTATTTATAGATTTTTGTCTCCTATTAA